AATACTGACTTTAAGAGATGAATACTTATGTAATGACATAGTGTCATATTTTTGTCAATATTTTTGCAGGACCTGAAATTAAAAGGTTATTTTTGTTCTTTTGTCAAAAAAGGCCAAATTTTGTTGGCTTCGACAGAGAAAGGGGTTGAATACTTTTTATGTACCCTGGAGCCGTTTTGTAATTAAATCCATTTTTTAGTTGTTGCATTTTAGGACATTTAGTAAAAGTGAAATCTGGCTCTGAAGAACATAAATTAAAACTTGAACATTTATAATAAACATTTGTCAAGAATATGTAAACAATTTTTTCAACACTTTCCACCACAAAGTTGAAACACTCTGAATATTTTATTTTAGTTGTTTTTTATTCATAAAAAAACACAACAACAATAAACAAAGAAAAGTCATGTTTTGTCTCTAATGTAGCCGTTTCGGACCCAGGGGCAAAAACAAACAAAAACCCCATCACCGGTTGTGACGTCAAGAGAAGGTCAGAAATGAAACGTCCGAGGCGCAGTAAAGGCATCATATGAGCAGATTTGTAACCGTGATTCTTTCACATGGTGTAAAAAATGAAAGTTTTGTTCATCAAAAATGTTTTAGATGAAAACGTTTTAACGTAACGAACCCAAATAAAGAGGTTCTACTCAGTTTTAATCCTCCGAATGGTCCAAACCTCCAGTCCAGGATCCGCCAGCAGCTCCGGCATCACTCTCCCTCCTCTGTCCGGTCAGCGGAACTCTCCCCCGGCTTCTCTCCATCATCAGTCCGCTCACCTGCGGTGGCCCCCGGCTGCTGTTCCGCCTTCTTCTCCCCGCTGTCCTCCTCACCTTCCGTCTGCTCGCTCTCGGAGCCGGAGTCGTCGTCCAGCGCCTTGGCGTCAAAAAGCCGGGGTCTCCCGGCTCGGAGCCGCAGTCCCTCCTCGTACCACTGGCGGTAGGCTTTGACCACCGCTGCCCGGGAACAGCCCACCGTCTTGGCCGTCTTGGAGACGCTCAAGCCCAGCTCCCTGGCCACTACCACCTGGCCCTTATCGAAGTCGCTCAGTTCATCATCCTCCATGTTTCTCCGGCCCACCAAAGTTCGAATCAGGGCGGGTAACTGACGAAAATCAGGCTGACTGGACCAAGATGGCGGCCAACTCTCCCTCACAGTCGCTTTCAAACGACTTCTTCTTCTTCTGTAATTATGGTTTATTTGCTGCACCGCCACCTACTGGCGGACATTTGGGACTGCATGAAAATGGGAACAAAAAATGTAATTTATTCCATAAAAACTGGCTATATTAAATTAACTTTCAGGTGATATTAATAAATTAAGATGTGATTTAGATGGAAAAGTTATAAATTTTAAGTTAAATCTAAATATTTGACCTCTTTTAATTATAAACAAAGAAACCATAAGATTTTATTGTTATATTTGGAAAAGGAAATTCTATGGAGGCTACACCCTGTCAAAACTGGTATTAAAAATAGAAAGCAATAAGTGGCTTTAAAAAGTTTTTAATGTGGGAAATATTTCAGCTAAAATTTTAAAATAATTTTATTATGCGTTGTGAAATGAACCAATATTTATCATTTTCATCTATTAATTTAAATTTATAACTATTATTTATGTCTATTTTAATTCTAATCTTTTATATATATATTTTTTGTTTAAGTTTTTTAATTTACTGTTACATTTTTTAAATATACATTGATTTATTTTCTCCTCTCTTTGCATTTTGTCTGCATTTTCTTTGCCAATTCTGGCAGGAACAGTTCTCCATAAATATCTAAACCAAAGCAGTGATAGACAGAGACATAGAAAATGTTTTTTTTCCCCAGAAGGAGTTTCTTTAATAACTGCAAAGTAACCAAAAGTAAATAACAGGAATATTTCCGTATGGACTCGGAAAACGTAGGGGAAGAAAAATACAATGATTATAGAGTTCGGGGAGGGGGGGAATTAAAAGTGGAAAATGTAAAAAAAAAAAAGAAACAACCAACATGTGGAAGAGTCAGTGGGTTAAAAAGTTATAGCTGGAGTAATAATCTATATAAAAAGGAGTAATGTGAGGTAAACCATTCAGTGAAGCTGAAGGTTGGCGTTAATGGAACACTTAATGTTTGTCAGCTTTTGTTCTCCATAGAAACAGGAATGTGTCACCAACACAGAATTCACACAGATATGAAAACTCTGCCACAGAGTGTACCATTGGACATCTCAGACTATTTACAGCAAAGGTACGCAAAATGTCTCTTTCCAGAATCTTCTCAGTTCATACAAAAATAGCTCTTTACTTTAACAGATCCAAGTTTACGCTGAAATATCGAAAAACCAATCAAAATGCAAATGCATATAAACCCCAAGATGGCGGCTGTGACATCTCAACCATGGAGTGGATATTGGCACTTTTTCCATACAAACGAGTTAAAAGTTTTGTTGGCATCAGCAACGGCCGTCCAGCGGGTCCAGAGAGAAGACGGTGCCCTCCATGGTCAGTCCCATTTTGAACCCCTCCTGTGGGAAAACAGGCAGGAGGATGAACGCTGCGGATAGAGGAGCTAAACGAGCCGGATTCATCTGGAAGCTCAGAGTGACCAAAAATAACAAACAACAACCATCTGGAGTCAAACCGCTCCTACATGCAAAGTCATGCTTCACTCAACTGGGTCAGAAATGACAATGCATGCTCATTGGTTTGGTGCTTTATGGTAGAATGTTATGAGTAGTCAGTATCTTACCTCCAGGAGTAAACAGAATGAGCTCAGCTTGAGAAATGGTAATGGAGTCAAGCTAACAGCAATTCTAAATCAACCTGACAGATAATCTGAGTCAAGCTAACTCAGATTCAGGCTAAAAGTTAGCCAGAATAAAGATAAATGCTAACTTTATTCATACCAACAGGTAGCCACACTGAAGCTAACAGCTAACCAGAGTCAAGCTAACATCTACTCCAATTCATGCTAGCAGCTAACCAAAGTCAAGCTGATAACTAGCCAGAGTCACCAGCCAGACCAGCTAATATGTACTCAGAGTCAGTTAGCCAAATATAACCAAATATGGTTATATGAATTAACCAAAATACAACTAACCATATTCACATCAACAGCTAACCAGTGTGATGATAAAAGCTAATCTGTATAAAATTTAAAGCTAATCAGAGTGAAGCCTGATAGGCTAGAAGTTAACTTTTAGCCTATCAGGCATAGGCTAAAAGTTAACCAAACTATAGGTAAAAGCTAACTTTATTCACTCCGATAGCAAGCCACAGTGAAGCTAACAGTACCTCAGGCCCAAGCTAAAAGTTAATCAGACTACACCTGAAAGCTAACTGTTTTCACGTCAACAGCTACCAACAGCGAAGCTAAAAAGATAACCAGAGTAAAGCTAATAGCTAAACAGAGTGGAGCTAATAGTCAACCAAAGTCAAGCTTACAGCTAATCAGAATCAGGCTAACAACAAAGCAGAGTCAAGCTAAAAGCTAACAGTCAGGTCAACAGCAACTCAGAGTCAAGCTAGCAGCCGCTGAGAGCAAAGCCAACAAGAGCTTAGAGGATGAGGATGTTGGTAAATATGAAAACATGCAGCAGGAAACAGCTGCAGTCGCAACACAGACAGCAAAGCAAAGGTACAAACCATCTCTGCCGCTAAGAGAGGGAAGAAGACAAGAGACACATTCAGCTGTTAATAATTCAGAAGAGAGAGAAAGGAAACACATTCAGTAGTATGTAGTAACGTCGCCCCATGCTGGCGACACCAACACTGGTTATTAGGTTTGAACTCCCAGGCCTCACCTGCATCTCATCGAGCTTCGACTGGATATCTGGAGGGAAGTCAGCCGCGCCGCAGGTGAACGGGTCAAACGGCTCCGCTCCGAACAAATCTTTACCTGCAGACAGAACCACAGTCAACCCGCTTCCCTCGCTTCCACCAAACCCGAGCGGTTCTGTTGGCTCACTCATGTCGGGCGGCAGGGAGGTCGGCGGCGGCGGAGGACAGCCATTACTGGCCCTGCTGGGAACCAGCGGCGTCACTGTGGAGAAGGGAACCATGTCGAAAACATCCGTGGACTGTAGTTTCACCGAGACACTCCCCGCCTGCACCAGAACACAAACCGTTACTGAACCGGCCGACCCGAGACACACAACACCACACAGGGAGGAAAGGCTACGGGAGCAGATTAGGGCCAAAAAAAATAAAATAAAATTCTGACTGTTATCTCAGAATTTGAATTTTTTTCCTCACAATTCTGACATTTTTATTTACAAAGTTCTGAAAAAACAAAACAAGCTGTAAAAGAGATTTTTTTCTCTGTCTCTCACATTTTGGAATTCTGACTTTTTCTCAAAATTCCAACTTTTCTTTTTACAATTCTTACTTTTAACTCTAAATTTTGACTTTTTATAGAATCCAAATTTTTCTCAGAATTGTGACATTTTCCTTTATTACAATTTTAACTTTTTTATCAAAGTTTTGATTTTTTCAAAATTCTGACTTTTTTCCTCAGAATCAGAGTTGTTAAATTGTTTATGCATCATCCAGCAAATCCATTCTTAAAACTCAAATCTACCAAATAAATTTGGTAAATTTGTGTGGATAAATTACAGGTTTACCAATCCTAAAACAAGGAAAATAGTTACACAATTATTTTTCATTTGCTAACAACATAATTGACATACACCTACAAATTTTTGGTTATTTTGACACAGAATTAGAATTCAAAGTTTAAAGTCAAAATGTTTTTTTTTTCAGTGGCCCTAATTGTCTTCCGTAGAAGAGAGCAGAAAAGACGTTAGTTTACACGAGGCCGCGGGATGCTGCAGGCCTCGCTGGCTTTAGGAGGAAGAGGAAGAGGAGGAGCGTGTTTAGCAGGCGGAGGGGTTAGTATCCCCGCGGAGACGCTGGAGTCCGGAGAGCTCATGGGCGTTAGCGTGACGGAGGAAATCTCCAGACAGGACAGCGACGACACGCTGTGAAACCAGAAGAGAGAGGACGGCCTGTGCAGCAGGAAGGACTCGCCCACCGCGTCCGGCGGCTGGGGAGAGACAGCGCACCGCCACCACAGAAGAAGACGGGTTAGTCAGAGAGCAGCGCTACGCTAACCGCCATGCTAACCGCTATGCTAACCACACCGCTAACCGCACTGCTAGGCGGATTGAGAAATCTTTCGTCCGCACTCTAACGAACTAACTCACATGAAAAATAAAACTTTCAGGTACCTTAATGAGTTTTACAGAAACAATGTTTAATCGACTGAATCTTTTCCTATTCCAACTCTTCAAAATGGGAAAAACAAGAGAAAACGCCTTTAAGAAAATAAGAACATCTGGATCATCTAGAGCAGGGGGGATTTTAAACCAAATGCTAATTTCACTGTCTTGACTAAATAATGCAATTATTTCTTTTAAGCTGTTTGTAATGACATTTTTGATAAATTAAGCTAAAAAGGTAAGCTGAATGTTAAGCTAAGTAGCCACAGGAAGAGCTATGCTAAGCTAAACTGGATGCTAATTTGTCTGATGAGAAAACAAAATTCTTAAATGTTTCTTAAATGAGGCCAAAAAATGAGCAAATCAAGGTTTTTATTTCTTTGAGGTAAATTTTAGATCTATAATGTTTTTACACAAAGACACAAAATAAATCTTATTTTATTTGTTTGATTAGAATATTAAACAGTGGTGACCTATTGTTTTATCGTAGTTATTGATCAGTTTGTTAATTTGATGAAGACAGAAGACAAAGTCCTGTTGTGCAAACTACCACCAGCAGAGGGCGCCCCTACCTGGACAGCAATGACCTCTAAACCAGGACGTTTCTGACTGTTGGTTGTTTCAGGATTTATTTTAGGTTTTGTAAACATCTTTCTTGTGGTTCTGATTAATGTCCTGATTTCAAACCGACTGGAGTTGAACTGGGACGTTTTGTTCTTACTGGTGGCACATGAGCGATCATCAGCTGCTCCTCCAGCTCCTGCAGTTGTTTCTTCAGCTCAGCGTTTTCCGTTTCCAGTTCCTGAATCTGTGAGAACAAAACAGTTTTAATCTTCTGTTAGAGGTTTTTACATCATGTTTCAGAGAACCTCTGTGTTATGCTAAACTAAACATGAGATTTAAGCTGCTTTCAGATTAAAGGCATCTAAATGTAGAGAATTTTTAATGCAGAAAAAAAACATCAATCACTATGGCAACACCCTGCAAAAACACAAAGTCTTACCAATAATTTTGGTCTAATTTCTAGTGAAAGTTTCTTAGTTCAGTTGAAATAAGACAAAACAACCTGCTAAAGTTTTCAGCAAGATTTAAGTTTGTTTTGAGTAAATTTTAAGTTTTTTTTTTTTAAGCGTTTCCAAAACCGTCACAAACTTCTCTCAGTGTAAAGGCGCCTGGTTGCCATGGTTACCGCATCCCTCTCTGCTGCCGTACATGGGAGGTTTCTGCATCGTAACCATCAGTTTCAGCCAAACTGTGGAGAACAGAACCTGATCAAACCTCATCATCTTTAGATCCGATGGAACCTCGTCTGAAGCTTTCATGCATCAGCTCCATCCAGAACAAGTTCTGGGAGGTTTGGGCGGTTCTGCCCAGCCCAGAAGGTGGACCAGGTTTTATCGGGGCAGCTGAGTTTGTTGGGGATTCGCTGCGGCTGCTTGGTTTACCTGAGCGGTACTGAACGGGTCGGCTCTGTTCAGGACGGCGTTTAGGCGTCCAACGACAAAACATGACAAACTATAACGTGTCACGATTCTCTACGTTTCTCTGACCCCAATCGATGTGACTGATGTTTATTCCCATGAGGTGTTTCTCTGAGGAACGGAGCTCAAACCGAGGACCAGCAGGTCAGAGGTCAGTTCATCCAGGTGTTCAGCTCCTCATGCAGTCAGACCAGAGGCTTCGCCGAGTTCCCAGCAGAAATCTAATCTCAGCTTGTGGCATTAATATTCATCAGTTCACTGGCTCTGCGCTGATGAATCGAGCAGGTTGACGGATTTAAAACAATCGATAGACACAAGCTCAGCATTAATTAATAAAACCATCAATGCAGCGCCTCAACGCCGTACTCTCTTCTGCAGCCCGCCGATCTGCTTCCTCGTCTCCACGTCTTTCCCTCCAGACTCCAGAAACTTCTTGTAGGCCAAGTCGAAGGCCTGGCCGATGGTGAGGGTGATCTCCTCCGCCTGAAAGACACGATTCACCTGAAACGTCTCACAGCCTCCAGGGTTTGGGAACAAAAAGCTAAAAACACGTACACATTTTTCACTGTCGAACACGTAGCAGAGGTGTTTGTTGGACTCAGAGTCTTTGCAGATGAAGGTGAATATCCGTTTGTCCGTCTTGTCGTCGGCGCAGAACGATATCCGGTGCAGCTGACAGTTGTGCTGCACATCCTGCGACACAAATCCTCCGTTATTCACAGACTGGATCAACCGGATCTGTTCTGGAGGGAAACCACTTTCACATCGTAATGAAATCTGAATATGGAGCAGATCTACATCGAAACGTGGAAAACCTTTGGTTGCCATGGTTACCCTCTGCCGTTTCATATGGGATGTTTCTGCCCCTCCACCATCAGTTTCAGTCAAACTGCGGAGAATCGACCCGTCCGGACTCACCTTGGTTTTGGGGTCCAGGATCTTGACGCCGTAGATGGAGATCTGAAGCTCCACTTTGGGAATCTTCTGGCCCTCCGACTTCTTGATGTGCCTCTGAAACTGTCAGACACAAAAAGAAAAACCACATTTTCTAGTTGCTTGGTCATGACCTTTAACCTTTGACCTGCTTCACTCCTCAACGCTGGGCTGAATCTCCTGGAAATATTGTATTTAGCTTCCATATGTAGCATTAGCGTCAGCTAAATAATGTGTTAGCATAGCAATTTAGCATTAGCTAACTGATGTGTTTGGTTAGTGCTATAGGATCAGTGCAGCTAACTCAGTGATGCCCAACGTTGCAAAAAAAAACTTAAAAAACAGGATGGTAGATGTATGGAAAGCCAAACAGACCAAAGTTGTCATATTTTGTACAGGGATAAAGATTTTATTTTTTAAATATAATTATAAAATGTGTTTTTATTGTGTTTGCAGCTGACTGATAGTAACTCACTGCATGAATCTTGAAGTTTTCATACAAATTAATGGTAAATCTGACATTAATTAATTTAACTTTCCTTTGGGATTGATAAAGTATTTTTAATGTAATTAGAGATATCCTAATTTACTAATATGTCTTGCCATAAACTAATTTCAGTGTGTTGAAGATGATTTTATGGTAAAATGGCCTGCCATAGCCCTGATGACCCTCCCCAGGTTGTTGGGCAGCAGCAGTTGCTATGTGTTATGTCACAACCTTTCAGAATAAAATATGTTTATTAATTTAACCTGAACTTTCTGTTTGGGTGTTTTATTTTGAAAGTATTCAGGCTTTTCAGAGCATGTTTTCTAGACGTGAACTCAGAGGAGGGGTAGCTGCTGTATCTGGGATGGTAACCATGGCGACCTGGTCTCCACCGTGAGACGTGTTGCAACAATGGAGTCCTGGCGTTGGGAGAACAGGCCTCCCCATCGGCGGCCTCTCAGGATTTGGCAGGAGGCGCTGGTAAGAGGCTGGGCGGACATCTTCCCAGGCTGGGCCTGGACTGGGATGTATGCTGGGAGGAGGCCAGGTCAAAGGTCATCCACTGGGGAGTTCAGGGAAACTGGGCACTTAAATCCTGAACAACAACTGCAGTAGACCTTCTGAGAGTTTATGACCAGTTTGCTACCAGTTTTACCAGTAAAATTAGTTTCTGCATCTGTTTTCATTACAAATGAGAGCAAACCTTTGGCAGTATTCAGATAACGTCCACACAATTTAAACGATTTCTGTGTCTCTACTAAATAAGAAACAATTACAATGAATATGTTTTAATTAGAATTATAAAAACAAACAAACAAAAAACAGACCTCATATTAGTGTTTTTGTTTGTTTTTCAGTTGGTGTTTCCATTAAGCAAATTTATTTTCAAAATGTCAAATTATGCAGTTTTATGGTCAATGGAAACAGTTTAAGATGTGTTGGGAAAACTTGTAGGAGGGAAAATTCACGTTTATCACATTTTTATAGTTTCAAAACAATAAAAAAGTTATTGCTGAGTTTTGGCAATAATTTAATGTGTTTTGGTAAATGAGTCATTTCAAAAAACAAAAACTCAAAAATTGTCAAGTCACACTGCACTGGAATTGGCCCGTTACCTAGCAACCCCGGCCAGGCCCAGCCCCGTTACCTAGCAAGCCCGGCCCTTTACCTAGAAACCCCAGCCAAGCCCGGCCCTGTTACCTAGCAACCCCAGCCAAGCCCGGCCCTTTACCTAGCAACCCCGGCCAGGCCCAGCCCCGTTACCTAGCAACCCAAGCAGAGTTCCAGAGCGTTTGGTCAGCTGGTTTTGGTTATTTAATGGCTGCTGCACTGCAGAAACACAAAACCTTAGCAAGTATTTTGATCCAGTTTCTAGTGAAAATATCTTAGTACCCGTAAAATAAAACAAAACTGACTTAAAAGTAACTTTTCAGCAACATATAGGAGCTTGATTCAAGTCAGTAATTCCTTAATATTTATGAATAAAGTTCTGGTTATACTGGCAGATTATTTCACTTATCAAGAAAGTTTTCACCAACATTAAGAAATTGACTAAAAACAAGCTTTTCTCGCTGAAAAGTTACTCATTAGTTAGTTTTTGTATTTTTTTGAGTGTACTGAGACATTAACAGTAGAAATTAGGCCAAAAATACTTGGTAAGATTTTGTGTTTTTGCAGTGTTTTATTGTTGAAACCACTTGCTGCGTTCCTGTTGGTTGTGCAGGAGGCTCCACTTCTGCTTTTCAAAGACGTACGGTTGTTTAATTACGCATCTGTTTGCAGCCATAAAGCAGCTCAAGACAGGCAGAACTGAGCAGACTAAACTCTTGATTCAGTGAAAAAATGTTTTTTATAGGCCATAAGCGGAGCTGATCGATTCAAGGCAGCATGAAATGCCACTTTTAGTGTAGGGGTTGCACCAATTAGTCGACTAATCGATTCTTTTCTCTGCAATGACTTTTTTT